ATTATTTTATTTAGCCATGTATTTACTTTTTCAAGCCATTCATGTATTTCTACATTTATTTCCAATTATGATAGGTTTGGTCCTCCATACCTGGATGTCAAAGGGTTAAAAGAAAATGTTTAATTTGGGGAAAAAAATTGTGAAAATAATGTGAATTATTTGTTGTTCAAAGAGTTCTACTGACCTTTGTGTTGTTCAGAGGGACACAAATATGTGCTTAAATGAAAGCTCAGAGGGTCCCCTTAAAATGATACCAAATACAATTTCATAAAACTTTGACCAATGTCCATACAATGAGCCTAAACCAGCTATAAATCAATGTCAAAAACAATTTTTTTTCTTAATTGGTTTATTTTATGAGCTGATCGCTGTGATTTAGACACTACTCTGAAAAGGATATCATACCCAAATATCATCTACAGATATGTATCTTTTCAAAAATTGTGATGAAGTGAGATGGACCAAAAACTGGTCTGGCCCATGGATTCTATTTATTAAACCTCGTAGTCTCTACAACTCATGTTTAGTCAGTTTGCCATCCCTAATTGAGCTTTTTAAAAAATACTTTAGCCTTATAGTTGTTCAATGCTCTTGTTTTGTTCATATTTTGAACTCTTACCTATTTTAGGATGTCACTGTATATTGTTTTTATTTCGAAATAAATAACATTTGTAATTGTAAAAAAACAAAAATCCACAAATCTACATATTGTTTCAGTGAGACCGCAGGTGGGCACAAATATTGAAAAGAAAAAAAGTCATGAAAAATTATGTTTTTAGTGATGTTTATGTTTGTGTTTAACTCTGATAGAACACTTGTGTTTTCAGACATGGTCTCAGACAAAAAAAAAAATACAGAAAAAAGTACAAGCCACAAAAAATAAAACTAAATAAATAAGAAAAAACTTGTTTTCTTTCATGTGAGGTCATTCAAAATGCTATAAGATGTTGTTACGACCCGGCTCAAGAGCCATAACATATGTGAAGACACGACACAATGGAATCAGTTGAAAACCTTAAAAGGTATTTATTAAAGTTTTTGTCTAGGATTAGGTGAGTTTGTTGGCCCGGTTTGGAGCTCCGTAGCTCCCGAATGCACCGGACATCTCTCACCAAGCTAGACCCTCTGAAGTCCGTGGTCCAGGTTTACATTCCACCTGTTATGAGCAAGTCTGTGGTCTGATTCCCTCGACCAACGTCGTGTCCTCCGTGCACCTCTGCGTTTGCACTTCAGTGTCCTCTCTCCAGCTCCGAAAACCCCGACTCGGCATCCACACGTCAGCAGGATGTCTCTCCCATGAGGCACGCCGTATGAGAGCAGCAGCAGCAGACCGTCAGGATAGGTGCAGCACACAAAATCCACATAAGACACAGAGCGTTGAACCTCAGAGCCGTCGCCAGCCACTAGTGATGGGCAGTTTGAAGCTGAAGCTTCAGCGCATGTATTGAAAAGAACAACACACTGTTTCAGAAGCACTGTCTCGGAGCTTGATTCATTTGGTAAAAGTCATGTGGTCAGTGACGTCCGAAGCTTCGAAAGTGGTGAAGTTACTTCACTGCTTTGGTACCTGATTCAAAGGTTCATGAGGAAATGAATCATTGGCTGGATTCGTGGTGTGTTTTGATGGCAAATGCACAAAATATAACAAACCAGTGAAGGATTTATTGTGAGACACAGAGGCAAACAAATGTATGTGTTTAGTTTGTCGTGCAGTTTATAAGCCTGGGCCAGACAGTGGGGGTCACAAACCCACAAAGAACCTTTGCTGCGAGCGCACGTGTGTGCGCGCACGCACACACACACGGACCCACACAGAACTGCATGCAGCTTGGTTCATCGTTAAAAAGAAAGCAATGGTAGCGCGAGACACATTCCAGAGCAGAGTTTCACTTGTTGCACAGATGATGATTTTCATAAAAAACACAACCGAATGGTGACGATGTCCTGTCCTCAGGAGGCAGGGCGGCACGAAGCATTAGATGAAATTGATCAACTGTATGGACTCCATTTAATAAAAGGGATTATCCAAACATTTTAAAGTTCAGTGGAAAAGTTTTAAACATTCATTTCAAAATTTAAATC